TTGTTTTATTATATTTTAATATTTATTGCTATTTTATTGTGAACCGCCCAGAGTCACTTTTTGTGAGATGGGCGGTATCTAAATTTGAGATATAAATGAATGAATGAGTGAATGAATGAATGAATAAATAAATTTGATTTACCACTGCATTGCACCTATGAAGCAGGCTGTGGGTAGGAACAACACTAACCCAAATATACAGTACTTAAAAAAAAAAAGGCTTAAAGAATATTGTTAAAATGTATTGGCAAGAACTTCAGAATAAAAAGTTGGAATACCTCATGTTAACCAATCAAAGATTAAGAGTCTTAAAGAACATCAAGCAAGTTTTCTTACAACTTTAAGATGACATTAATTCTGCAACAAGTTTTATTTTTCATGTTTATGCAACACCTCAGAGAATCTTTTAAAAGGCTTGGCTGTCAACTTTTAAATGACCTTGTGTTTAAAAAGCAACTCTGTTGTAGAAATTAATTCTAATTAGAAACCATTCTTGGATTATAATTTTATATACCTGGACTTGTGCCGTATCCCAAATTTGGATATTGTATTATAATTCAATATATAACTTCCAGAATTACCCAATCCAAAAATGTCTTGTTTGTTACTTATAGTTTTTATTACTGATTTGTACTGTGTTAACCAAACACTTTCAGCTTAAATTTCAATACTCAGGTTTTGTTTAGAAAAAGGATACGATATATTTTACAATATCATAAGTCTCTAATGATATACTGTAATATACTAGTATTTATGATACTTTAGATATGTGGTATACCCACTTGTTTTTCACTATTTTTTACCTTATCATTCTACCTTTTTACATGTTCTGTATTTCTTCTTGTTTATATTCTTTCAAAAAATCTTAATTAGAAAAATTACTCTGAAATTGTAAAATGATGGATAGGTATTTATGCATATGATATGGTCTGCCCCACAATCATTCTGTTCTGGTTTTATATTGATACATTTGTTAATATGGTTTTGGAAAAGTAATATAGTTTAAAGATAGGAATGTGATTTTGAGTTATATTTCAAAAATTTGGAATTTATCAATCTATGAAGGACTATGGGTTTCTCAATCATGGGCATAGCAAAATTAATTTCCTTCCTTCCTTCCTTCCTTCCTTCCTTCCTTCCTTCCTTCCTTCCTTCCTTCC